TGCCCCGCCCATCTTTGGTTTGCTAAGGTTCTTGCTGAGAGCCAGGGGAGTGTTTTCACTGTGGCTGGTGACTTTCAATCTCTCCGGAGACTCATCTGTCACACAGGAAACTCACAGACTGAAATGCATGTGAAGAGATATTTAAACCTATGTAGAACTAGGAGGACAACCAGAGCATTGACATTTATTCCCCTGACCAGGATGGCCCTCAGTGACACCCAGTGGTGTGGGAATGTGGGCATCTAGGAGACTCTCTGGATGCCCTGCTTCAGTGGGGATGAAGGCGAGCCAGTGAGAAACTCGCCAGGGAGGATCAGGAGGCCGCTTCAAGCGGTGAGCACGCTGTGCATGTGGCAGTGTGGAAGGATCTTGAAGGGTTAGTGCCAAGAAGAGAAACAGTGAGAGATACAAAGCAATGTCAGAGTCTTACTCTCCACCCAGGCTGAGTGAAGTGGCAGGGTCAGGGCAATGGCAACCTCGACCTGCTGGGCTCGGGTGGCACCTCAGCCTTCCAATCAGCTGGAGCTTAGGCATGTGCCATTACTCCTGGCATGTTTTTTAAAAAAATGTGGAGATTATGTCATGTTAAGTTATCCAGGCTGGGCTCAGGCACTTCTCTTGCCCCCGCATTCCAAAGTGCCTGCATTACACGTGTGAGCACCACCCCCTGCCTTGCCTCTCTTGGGTTTGCTAAGGTCCTTGCTGAGAAGGGTTTGTTTTAAATTCATGGTGACTTTCAAACTCTGTCACCCAGGCTACAGTGTTTTGACTTCATGGCAACTTTCCCAGTCTGTCACCCAGGTTGGAGTACAGTGGCACATTCACAGCTCACTGCAGACTCTACCTGCTGGGCTCAGGTGATCCTTCTGCCCAGCCTTCCAGGCAGCTGGAACTACAGTTATGTGCCACCAGGCCTGGCTAAGTTTTGTATTTTTTGTAGAGAAAAGATGTTGCTGTGTTGTCTAGGCTGGTCTCAAATTCCTGGGCTCAAGCAATCCTCCCATGTCAGCTTCCCAAAATGCTGGGGTCACAGACATAAACTATTTTTTTAAAAACAATATTTTTTTTAATGACACCTTTCCTAAGAAAAACAAACTTCAGTCTTTTTTTTTTTTTGTCAGTATTCCACTCTGTTGCGGAGGCTGAGGGCACAGTCACAGTTCACTGCAGCCTCAAACTTTTGAGCCCAGATGATCCTTCTGCTTCAACCTCCTGAGTAGCTGGGACTTACAGGCATGTACCATAAAGCCCAGCTAATTTTTTTGTTGTTTTGTTTGTTTGTTTGTAGAGAAAATGTCTTGTTATGGTGCCCTTACTGGTCTTAAATTCCTGGGCTCAGGCAATCCTCCCACCTCAGCATCCCAAAGTGCAGGGATTATAGGCATGAACCACCATGCCTGGCCCAGAAATTTATTTCTTACAGTTCTGGAGGTGGAAAGTCCATGGTGAAGGCATGGCTGATTTGGTTTCTGGGGAGGACCTCATTCCTGGTTTGCAGAAGGACATGGTCTTCCTGTGTTGTCACTAATTACATACATGAGAACTTCCCCCTTATGACCTAATTATATCCTAAAAGCCCTATCTCCAAATAGAATTACATTCTGGGTTAGGCCTCAACATATGAATTTTGGGAGGACACATGCATTCAGTCTACACCTGGCACATCCCAAAAGCATGTTCATGGATTAGAACATTGTGTTCTCTTGCTGCCACAGGTGTTCTGAAAGTGGAGATGGCCGGGAGCACTCAGACTGTGTTCCTGAATGACAATATCGCCATCTCCTGCAACATCTCTAGTTCTGTACCCCTGGACATCAACGTTATGGGTGTTAGGTGGTTTTGGAGGAATCAGACGTCCAAAGACGACATCAAGCTGTTTGAGTCTTTTGGAGATCATGAAGAAACATTCCGACCTGGAGCCTTCGTGTCTCCAGAGAGGCTAAAGGAGGGGAATGCCTCGTTACAGCTGCCGAGGGTCCAGGTGGGAGAAGAAGGAGAGTTCCTGTGCGAGGTGGTGGTTACCCCTTACATGGCACAGGGAAGGATCTTTCTGCAAGTGTTGGGTGAGTGTCTGAGGGCAGTGCCCTGCAGTTCTCATGGTGTTAGGGTCAAGAACAGCTTCCCCAAACACCTCTTGGAGGTTCAACCTTCCTCTATTATAAAGTGATCAGAGAATACGTGGGTGAGCTTATGAATGTATTAATTTTCTAAGGCCACCATAACAGAATACCCCAAACAGGGTGGTTTAAACAATAACCAAGGGTGACTTCAGAATCTTGCTTGGGTTCTCCAGGCACTGGTGACTTCTGAACAATGAGGTTTCAGTTGTAGTTTGGTCCACAACAGGTTTCTGAAATTTCTCAAGCAAGTACAGTTAGAGCAATGGGTATGTACTTAGTCACAGCCACAGGATCATTGTATGAAGAGATTCCAGAGTGCAAAAGAAAGGGAAAAAAATCCAAAAAAACAAAATTTCAGTTGTTCCTACAAGCTGCACTGAAAAGTTCACAACATGAAAACAGTTTTCAGAAGCTAGAATTCTTGGTTATAATACCATTCTCACCCTGCATGCCATTTCTGCTATAGCTTGCATTAGTATGGGACACTTGATATCGCTAATGAACCAGTATTGGCATTTTACACCTAATTGAAATTCATCATTTATTCAGATTTCATTAATTACATTAATTGGCATTTTACACCTAATTGAAATTCATCATTTATTCAGATTTCAATAATAAATTCATCATTTATTCAGATTTCATTAGGTAATTTCATTACCTAATGTCATCTTACTGTACCAGGATGCCAACTAGAATACCAACTTATATTTAACTGTCACGTGTCCTTAGGCTCCTCTTGACTATGACAATTTCTTACACTTTCCTAGTTTTTGACAGCCTTGACAGTGTTGAGGAGTATGGGCAGGTGTATTGTAGGAAGCAACATTACTGGAACTTAATCAGACTTAAGGTTATGGGGTTTTGGAGGGCGAATCCCAGAGGTAAAGTGCCATTTTCATCACATCACATCAATCACATGATTTTGACTATTGGTGTTGAACTTGTCCACCTAGTTCAAGTAGTATTTGCCTGGTTTTTCCACCATAACCATCCCCTTGCCCCTAGTTTCATACTGCACCTTTTGAGAGGAAGTCACTCTGTGTAGCCCACACTGCATGTGTGAGGAGTGATGCTCCTTTTTCCGGGTGAAGTATCTTCATAATTTTTTTGCAATTTCTCTGCATACGAGATATGTCTTTTGTCCTATTTATTAATTCATTCAATTATTTGTATTATTATTAGTGTTTTCTCAGTCACATTCTAACTCTGTCACCCAGGCTGGAGTGCAGGGGCACGCTCACCGCTGCCAAAGCCTAGATTTGCTGGACTCAGGCAATCCTTCTGCCCCCAGCTTTCCAGGTAGCTGGAACTACAGGTGCACAACTCCACACTGAATTCTTGCTTGATTTATTGTAGAGATGAGGTCTCACCACGTTGACAAGGCTGGTCTCAAGCCCCTGAGCTCAGGCAATTCTTTCACCTTGCCTCCCAAAGTGCTGGATTACTGGCCTGAGCCACCATGCCCAGCTCAATTATTTGTATTTATAAGGACTTGGGGATATTTATTTTATACTTTGGGTTGTAATCTAGTACTACTTTATTTATTCTGCTTCTCAAATTGTTCCATCTTTGGTCACTGGGAGCCCTTTCAGTTGGCTCCTATGTCCCTCTGACATAATCTAGGGTTCTGTTTTATTTTAAGCACTTTGGATGTTTTGACACTGAAAGCTGCTCCAATTCAGCTTGCATATGTCCTGCCTTAGTGCTAGAACCAGCTAATCCTCCAGGAAGCCTTGGTTCCTTTTGACTGTAATACGGTTAATTTTGCTTCTTCCAGTCTGTATTTTCTAAGGATTCCTCATACTCCAAAACAATTCATTTAAAATGTGCAAGTCTTAAGGTTCACTCTGTGTTCTACAGTTCTGTGAGTTTTGACAAATGCATAATGTTATGCATCCATCATTCCAGTGTCAAAGAGAATAGTTACTGTCCTGAAATTGCTCTGTTTTACATGTTTGTCTCTCTCACTGAACCCCTCCTGCCACTGATCTTTTAACTATCTCTATACTTTTGCCTTTCCCACAATGTTATACAATTGGAATCATTCAGTATGTATCATTTTTGAGATGGCTTCTTTCCCTTAGCCATATGCATTTTAGGTTCCATATCTCGGCTTGATCATTTCTTTTTATGCCTGAATAATACGGCATTGGATAGATGTGCCTCAGTTTACCCGTTCAACTATTGGAGGACATCTTTATTGCTTTCAATTTTGACCAGTTATGCATAAAGCTGCTGTAAACATTCATGTTTAGGTTTTTGTGTGGTCATACGTTTTCAACACCTAGGAGTATGATCACTGGATCATGTGTTAATACTATGACTAGCTTTGTAAGAAACTGCCAATTGTCTTCCAAAGTAACCAAATCATTTCCTGCCAGCATGGAATGAGAGTTCCTGCCAATCTGCATCCTTGTCAACGTTTGGTGATGTTTGTTTTTTGGATTTTAGCTATTCCAATAAGTGTAGAGTGGTCTCTCCTTTGTTGATTTAATTTGCAATTCCCTAATGGCAAACAGTATTGGACATCTTTTCATATGTTTATTTGCCATCTGTATGTTGTCTTTAGTGAGATATTTCAGATCTTTTAATGGAATTCATTTCTTTTCTTACTGTTGAATTTTAAGACCCTTTTGTGTATTCCTGATACAAGGCTTTATCAGATATGTGATTCACAAATATTTACTCAGTGTTTGGCTTGTCTTTTTTCCAAATCTCTCTCTGTCGCCCAGGCTGAAGTGCAGTGGCATGCTGTCAGCCATCGCAGCCTTGACCTGCTGGGCTCAGGTAATCCTTTCTCTCAGCCTTCCAAGAAGCTGGAACCACAGGCGTGCAACACTACACCCAGCTAGTTATTTATTGTAGAGACGAGGTCTCGCCAAGTTGCACAGGCTGGTCTCGAATCCCTGGGCTTAAGCAATCCTTTCTCCTCAACCTGCCAAAGTGCTGGGATTACAGGTGTGAGCCACCACTCCTGGTGGGATTTTTATTTAGATTGCACTGAATCTATAGATCAAGCTGGGATGAAGTAACATCTTAACAATATTGAGTGCTCTGGGCCAGGGTGGGAGGCAACCTTGAAGCAGCACTTGGAAGACAAAAGAAAGATTCTATCCTGTGTTGGAGTCTTGTGTACTGGTCACAAGGACATAATCTGGGCTGCTGTGGACCCTGTCAGATGAGCATGCTGGAGTGATTTCTGTTCTAGCGTAGCACACAGCTGAGCTAATCTCTGAGTCTAGTGATATTCCCGTGGTGTGTCTAGAACCAGATAATGGAAACATTCTGATCCAGAAGGATGATGGCATCACAGTGGCAGGGCACAAAATGGCCTCTTGATGTCATATCAGTTCTCTAGCAGCCTGTCCTAGGGACTCAGTCCTACCTATGTAATTATCTTATAGAACTACTGAAGCTCTAGTAGTTAGGCTGTTCATTTCATGTGCATTGGACATTTTTCTATTTATTTTGGAGTAAGTTGCTTTTTAATACTCTGTGGACCTATCTCTCTTAGATGTTAGTAAGAAAGGACCACACTTGGAAGCAGCAGGTTAGATCATGGGGTATATAGAATTTGGTTTTATTCAATACATCTGTTTGGAGGGGAAAAAAAAACCAAACCCAAGACAGTATTAAATCATCCTAGCCAGCAACACAGAATAATCTCTTCATTTATTTAGATCTTCTCTTTCTGTCTTTCTTTAGAATTTTGTAATTTTCCTCACATAGTTCCTGTACGTGATTTGTTAGATTAACACTTAAGTATTCTTTTTTGAGATGAGGAGCTGTGCTAATGTAAATGGTATTATATTTTTAACTTCAGATTCTAATTGTTTGCTGTTGATATGTTTTCAGGTAATTGATTTTTGTCTATTAACTTTGCATCCTGCAACTTTCTGTGATCACTTATAAGTTTTAGGAGGCCTTTTTTATTATCTTATTAGTCAAGTCTTTGGGATTTTGCAACATAAATCATGCAGTCTATGAAAAATACAGTTTTTTTTATCTTCCAAATACGTATGCCCTTTATTCTTGTTCTATTATACTTACTAAGGCTTTCGTGACAATGTGGAACAGGAAGTGCTAGAAGGGACATCTTGCCTGTTCCCGATGTTACTTTCTAACTATTAAGTATCACGTTAGCTATAGGTGCTCTTTATCAACATGAGAGAGGTTCCCTGATTCCTAGTTTGCTGAGTTTTTTAAATGAATGGGTTTTGTCTAGTGGATTTTGGATTTTGTCTAGTGCTTTTTCTGCATGGTTGATATGATCAAGCAATCTTCTTCTTTAGCCTGTTGATGTGATAGATTACATTAACTGAGTTTAAATGATGATCCAGTCTTGCATACCTGTAAAAGTCCCTCGTGGTTATGGTATATTCTTATTTTTATATGTTGTTGGGTTAGATTTGCTAATATTTTGTTCAGAATTTTAGCACCTGTTTCAATGTGAGATGTTGGTCTCTAGTTATCTTTTCCTGTAATGTCTTCACATGGTTTTGCTATTAGGGTAAAACTAGGCTCATGGATAAGGTCAACTGTATTCCTTCTGCTCCTAGTTTCTGGAACTAATTGCCAAAAATTGGTATTCCTTTTCCTTAAATCTTTGGTAGAATTTACCAGTGAAACCATCTGAGCCTCATCCTTTCTCTTTTTGAGGGTGATTTCTTTTTTTTAAAAAAATGGGTTATTGATTTAATTTTTTAATAGATGTAGGATTATGGACATTATCTACTTTTTCTGTGAGTTTTGTAGTTTGTGTCATTCAAGGAATTGGTCTATTTCATCTAAGTTGTCAAATTGCGGGCATAGAATTGTTCTTAGTATTCCTTTATTATTCTTTTAATGTCCACAGGACCAGTAGGTAATCCCTGTGTGGTTTCTGATATTACTCATTTGTTTTCTCTCTTTTTTCTTGGTTAGTCTACCTAAAGCTGATCAGTTTTCTTTAGCTTCTCAAAGAAACAGTTTCCGATCATTGATTTCTGTATTCGTTTGCTATTCAATTTCATTGTTTTCTGATTGATTTTTTGCTATTTCTTGTTTTCTGCTGGCTTTCAACTTACATTTCTCTTCTTCCCCTAGCTTCCTAAGGTGGCAGCTTCTTGAGATTGTTGTTCATTTTGCCTTATTTTTCTTTTTTTTTTACATCTTTCTCTTTCCTCTAATGATATATGTATTCCATGATGTAAACTCGCCTCTCAGCAATGCTTTTGCTGCATCCCACATATTTTGATAAGTTGCATTTTCATTTCATTCCCAACATTAACACATCTCTCTTGAGTCTTCTTCTGTGACATGAATTATTTAAAAGTGTGTGGTTTATTCTCTAGGATATTTGTGATTTTCCAGCTACCTTTTTCCTTAGTTAAAGCTAGTTTGTTCCACTGAGATCTGATAACATACATTGTATGAGTTATAGTCTTTGAAACATGTATTTTGTGACCCAGAATTGTGACCTATCTTGGTGAATGTTCCATGTGAACTTGGAAAGAATGGGTACTGAGCTGATGTTGGGTAAAGTATTCCATAAGTGTCAATTAGATCCAGTTGGCTGGTAGTGCTGTTCTGTTCAACTCTGTTCTTACTGCTTCTCGGCCTACTTGATCTATCAGTTAATGCAAGAGGGGTTTTGATGTCTTCGACTATCATAGTGTATGGGTCTACTTCTTTTGCACTTCTGTCTATTTCTGCTTCACGTATTTTGACTGTCTGTTGTCCCGTGGGGACACATAAATGCTTGTTATGTCTTCTTGGAGAGTTGATCCCTTTTCATCAAGTAATACCTTCTTTATTCTTTTTGTTTTTTTTGAGTTGGAGTCTCACTCTGTCACCCAGACCGCAGCCTCGACCCCCTGGGCTCCGGCAATCCTTCCGCCTCAGCCTTCCGTGTAGCCGGAATTACAGGCGCGCGCTACCACGCCCGGTTGATTTTTCTGATTTGTTGTAGAGATGTGGTCTCGCTGTCCAGGCGGGTCTCGAACCCGCGGGCTCTGTCAATCCACTCACCTCAGCCTCCCAAAGGCGCGGGATTACAGGCTGAGCCACCGAGCCCAGCTCCTTCTTTATTCTTGATCATGTTCCTTGTCCTGAAGGCTACTGTGGTGTTATGATATACATATTGGTTTTCGTGCATGGTTCCTGGTCCAGAATTTCATAGCCCTTATTACAGCATTTGTTACAATGAGTGTGTTAGGCCTCAGGGCAGGCCTGGGAAACAGAATCTCTGATGTCCTGCCCTCCTGATACCTGTTCCGAGGAAGAGCTCTGGTCTTTCCTTACCTTTCTGTTGGTGGGTCTTAAGATCTTCCCTGGCTGGACACCATGGCTCACGCCTGTAATCCCAGCTCTTTGGGAGGCGGAGGTGATAGGACTACCTGATTCCAGGGGTTGGAGTACAACCTGGCAACTTGGCAAGACCTTGTCTCTACAGCAAGTAAAAAAATTAGCTGGGTGGTGGTGTGTGCCTGTAGTCTAGCTATTTGGAAAGCTGAGGTGGCAGGATCCTCTGAGACCACCAGGTTGAGGCTGCTGTGGCTGTGAGTGTGCCACTGCACTCCAGCGTGGGCAATAGAGACTCCTATTAAAAAAAAGAAAGAAAGAAAGAAAGAAAACTTCCCCGGAGAGAGTTCCAAGCTATATACCTGCTAAGGAATGCTGATGTCCTGAAGTCTCGATGAAATTCCAAGAGGCCAGGGATGGGAGAGCTTCTGGATAACATAAGACTGGGAGGAGATCAAAGACCAGTATGTGCTGGGCCTAACGCTTTGTGACCTTTTCCCCCCGGAAGCTTATCCGAACGGCACATTGAGAGAGAATGGAGACAATCATTATCTGTGTGAATTAAGTGGGTTCTACCCAGAACCTATTAATGTAACATGGAAAATTTGGAGGCAGAAATCACCCTATCACCTAGAGATTTTCGAGGACGTCAACACTGGTCATCCCATCAAGAATCTGGATGGTACGTTTAATATCACTAGCTCCTTGAAGCTGAACTCCTCTCTGGAAGACCAAGGAGCCTTCCTTCAGTGTGTGGTGGAGCACTTATCCTTGTCCACACCCTTGAGGCTCAACTACACCCAGACTGTGATAGGTAAGAGTCGTTTGGACCATTTCTTTTCCTCTTCACCTTGAAATAAATACAGCAATTATAATTATTTAATTTGTATAATTAATACAGGAATCCTACAGGAAATGTTAAGACTTAGGTTTCCGTGCAGTCTGCAGTCTTTGTTGGGAGCTGATGGGGAAGAAGAGAAAGCCTATACTGGAGGAACCAAGCCAGGGTCTGGCCTAGCTCAGCCCCAGGGTCAGCAGTCCAGACTTGGTCCATACACCAGTGTAGATGGCCTGGAAGGGGGATAGTGATAACAGTCATCGGGCGGAAACAGGGCTACTTGTCAGCTCAAGGCAACTTCAGGGTTCTGGATGGTTCATAGGAAACTTGCTGGATGCTTGGGGAATGGGGACAGGATGCTGCCCATGTCTCCTGAGGACAGGGGGCTGTCAGGGGCTGAAGCCAAGGACCAGCTGTGCCAGCAGCCCTTCTGGTCATGCTTCAGGTCCACTATAAACTGTTGGCTACTGAGGCCGAATCAGCAGTCCTATCTTATGGGCTGTGCCCCAAGATGGGGAGGCTTGTAGAATGTCCTGCAGATGCCCAGGGCTTCTCCCATGGCATACTGGATCCTTAGGGCAACACAACCCACTACAGACCCCTTCCCACAGGTGGGGTGGGCCTTGACCTCATATCCTGGTTGCTGTGGTCACAGCTCTGGCCTTGGGTAGAGCTGACTCTGCTGGTCAAGGGTTTCTTCCTAGAGCCAATAGGAGTAAGGAAGACAGGGCAGACTAGGCAGACTAGGGGCCCTGGGGAATTTGGTCAGGTTGTGTCAGCTGAGGCCTGGGATGGTCCTGGAGGGGGAAAGGACTTGTTCTTGGAAGAAAGGACTAGGGGTGTGTGTGGGTGGTGTGTTCAGGGGGTGCAGCCAGAGGTATAGGGGATATAGGGGTATGGCATTGAAATATGCTTTGTGTGTATGGTATGAGTGCTTTGTCTGGGTGGTATGTACGCGAAGGGGACCTTCAGAAAACTGGAATTGTCTTTTTGGAGGTGGGTTTCTTGTAGTATAGGCTTCCCCTGCTTGGTAAGTGTTCTAGGAATCCATCAAATTTATCTGGAAGTTTTGAGAAGGTTGCGGCACAGTATGTGAAAGTTGTCGGGGCTGAAGCCAAGTTGTGGCAAACAGGTGACTAGTTCTTACCATGACTATGCATCTGCCCACGCCCCACTGAGTGTTCAGCAGATTTTGACCAGAAACAGCATGACCCCTGTACCCCCACCTCCCTCTTCACCCTGTCTCTCCCTTTCTTGTGTGTGTATCCCCGAGAAGAAAGTCCTCAAAGGGAAACATTTGCTGATGTGGAAGAGGTGAAACAGAAAATAGCGGAAGCAACAAAGCCAGCGAAATTGATGAGTTCAAAAACTGTATCGAGCAGTGGAAATCCATTTCAGTAGGGGTAGTACATCAAACAAAGAATACTGTGAAAGTGACTCAAGTTTAAATGTGCAAAATAGATACTCAATTTTTTATAATTTCCAGGTTTTTTGGTCCTCCCATAAGTGATACAAGAGGGTGTTGAGCACAGATGCTTTAGGGATGTGGGTGGCACGTGCTTATGCTGTGCAGTGTCCGATCTCCCATGTTTCTGGCAAGTGCTGCCTCCCCTGATGCATGGAGGTGTACATGATGGGATGGAGATGCCGAGACGTGTGGCAGAGGGTGTGTGGTTGGGTCTCTGAGAAGGAAAATGACACACAGCCACACAATCCCTCGCAGCAGCCGGGTGGGTTTTCTGGCCCCTGCCAGTCGGTTTCCTCTTAATGTTCTCCCTTGTCTTTCTCTCTGCAGAACCAGAGAAGATGAACATCTGGTGGTTTTGTATGGAGCTGACTCCATTAATTTTATTCTTTGCTTTGTTTCCTTGGCAAAGGTAAGGGGATGTATAGCAAAGATCATCGTAGCCATTGGATGGAGTTGGGGTTTCTCAGGATGGGTGCTGAGGTGTTAGTGTGGCAGGTGTCCATGGCATGTTGCTCTTTTTGATGATGCACTAGGGAAGACCTTTGCCCCCTGATCTCTGTGTGCTGGGTCATAACTGTGGGGAGACGTGCTGTGAAACCTCCCTGTTTCTCCATACTAAGCCAGTCTCCTTGAACCTGACCTTAGTAGTTCAGACCAGGCCACCGAACTCTGCGGGAGCTGCACTGCTGTTCCCACTGGTTTAGGAACCACAGCTCAGAGAGGGGGCTTCCTTCTCCCAGGGGCTCATGTTTGGCTTCTAGCTCAGTGGAATAATTTACACCAGATCTCACTGGCTAGACTAAGAATTTCTAACCCTCACAAGATACTTCTAAACTAAAATATGTTTCCAAAGATGTTTATCCCTGACTATGGCCCCAATAGCAAATAAAACAGCCCCAGCTTTAGAGGCTCAAGGAACCAGTGCAAATGTGTTGGTTAAAATGGGTCTAGGTAACAACAACAACAAAAAAATAGCCTGCAGTGATTTATGGGCCTGCCAAGGCAAAGTGTGTTCAGTAGCTGATGCATCTCATTGTAAATTCTTTAGAAAAAGTGAAACTATCAGTTAATGAGGAAAAAAAAGCTGTGCATCTAAAGTTGGCCAACAGATTCATGGGACTGACTCTCCTGGTTAGATCTTGACCAGTGAGAAAACTGGATTAGAAAGTGGTTTTCAAATGTGTCTGGTGCTATTTGTCCTATTTCTTGTGTTTCTCTGGCACTGATACCCAGGTGCCGTGGTGCTAGAGGCAACGTTGGCAGTGATGTTTTTGAAAAGGAAAAGAAAATCTCTCTGATCAACTGGATTTGGAAGCCGTTTGCAAATGTGGCTGCCATCCTTCAACCTTCCTCACATCCTTATCCATCACCAGGGAGCTTTGCGGTGTGTTCCAGTCATGTGACTGGTTCCAGTGAATACAATGAGGCAGAAGTGGAGGTGCTCCCCCTCAAGAGGCCTTTTGTGTCTTCTCATGAGCTTCTAACATTACTGAGAGAAGGACATGCCCAGGCCAGCCTGCTGGAGGACAGCAGACAGAAGACATGTCCTTCTTGTTGCTCTAGTAGACGCCAGGCTAGATCAGATGACAGCCACCCAGCTCCACTGGGTGGATCTGAGATCGGCAGGGCCAACAAAGCCGGCTCTCAAGTGCGTAAAAAATACTTTGACTCTTTGTAATAGTTTTAGGTTTGAACTAATATTTAAGACTTTTTGTCTGTGTGTGTGTGTTTGTTGGGTTGGTCTCAGTCTGTCTCACAGGCTGGAGTGCAGTGGCACACTCATGGCCACTGCAGTCTCAACCTGCTAGGCTCAGGTGATCCCCCGGCCTCAGCCTTCCTATCTGGAACTACAGGCATACGCCACCACACCTGGCTAATTTTTTGATATATTGTAGAGATGAGGTCTCGCCATGCTGCCCAGGCTGGTCTTAAACCCCTGGACTCAGGCAATTCTCTTGCCCCAGCCATCTAAAGTGCTAGGAAACAGGCATAAGCCACCATGTCCATCTGTAATTAAGATTTTTAATATTTTCAAGTTGCAGTGTCACTCTGTCACCTAAACTGGTGTGTGGTGGTGCAATCATGGCTCACTACAGCCTCCACCTCCTGGACTCAGGAGCTCCCTATGCCCCAGCCTCCAGTGTAGGCTGCAACCATGCCTGGCTAATTTTTTGATTTTTTTTTTTTGTACAGATGAGATCTTACTAGTTGCCTAGGCTGGTCTGGCACACCTAGGCTTAAGTGATCCTCCTACCTCGACCTCCCAAAGTATTGGGGTTACAGGCATGAGCCATGGTGCCAGCCTTCAAATGTTTCTAGAAAGCCACTGTTTCAGACTGCCTTGTTACACAGAAAAAGCTAGCTGTTACAGCTCCTCAGGAAGGTGAGCTTTGACCAAAAGGAGTGTGTCAGCCAGGGAGATGTGCTGCTGAGACCCTTTCGAGAGAGCCCGCGTGAGGAGTGAGTCAGCCCGCATGCTCCTGATGTAGTGTTCAGGGACTGCCTCAGTTTTCCCTGAGGCCATGCTGTCCCAGAGAGCTCTTGCCACTGACGGAGCAAGGCAAGAGCCTCTCGTGGGAGTGCCAGAGCCTTCCTGAGAGTTGTGCAGCAGGTCCTCGAGTAACATCCTTTAGTTCAACATCATGTCGTTCTAACACTGATGACTGAAAACAATCGATTTCCAGCTGGGGCCACGGAGTGGAGTCTGCACGTCTTTCTCAAGGCTGCCTGGGTTTTCTCTGGGTCCTCCCGTTTCCTCCCATACCCCAAAGATGAGCACTTTCAGCCAGTTGCTTGTCTAAATGCCACATCGGAGCGAATGAGTGTGCTCTCCAATGGACTGGCTTCCGTCCAGAGCTGGTGCTACCTGGTGCCCCTCCACTGCAATCATTGCATTGGATAAACAACTCTCTTCCTTGTTTTGTTTGTTTTTTGAGTTGGAGTCTCACACTGTCACCCTGGCTGGAGTGCAGTGGCACGCTCTCGGTCACTGCAGCCTCGACCTGCAGATCCCTCTTCCTCAGCCTTCCAAGGAGCTGAACCCATAGGCATACACCAACGTGCCTGGCTACTTTTTTGACTTATTGTAGAGGGAAGGTCTTGCCACATTGTCCAGACTGGACAGGAACCCCTGGGCTCATGCAGTCCTCTCGCCTCCACCTCCCAAAGTGCTGGGATTACAGGAGTGAGCTACTGTGCTTGGCCTTTGTTTTTCTTCCTCTTTCTTAAATGTATGTACTGTTCACATTTATTTCAGTATTTAATACTGGAAGTGTTTGGGTTTTTTTTTTTTTGGAGCTGGAGTCTTTCTATAACTCAGGCTGGAGTGCAGTGGCACGCTCACAGCCACCGCAGCCTCAACCTGCTGGACTTAGGCGATCCTTCCACCTCAGCTTCTCAAGTAGCTGGAACTACAGGAGTGCATTAGCACACCTGGCCTATTTTTTTAATTTATTGTAGAGATGAGATCTCACCATGTTTCCTAGGCTGGTCTGGAACTCCTGGGCTTAGACAATCCTCTCATCTTGGCCTCCCAAAGCCAAGTCTTGAGTCACCATGCCCAACCTGTTTGGGTCTTTATTTTATTTTTTGAGTCAGAGTCTCACTCTGTCACCCAGGCTGGAGTGCAATGGCATGCTCACGGCCACCGCAGCCTCGACCTGCTGGCCTCAGGTGATCCTTCTTCCTCAGCCTTCCAAATAACTGCAAACACCGGCATGCATCACCACACCCGGTTAATTTTTAAATTTATTGTACAGTCGAGGTCTCCCCGAGTTGTCCAGTGTGGTCTCGAATCCCTGGGCTGAGGCGATCCTCTTGCCTCATCCTGCCAAAGTGCTGGGATCACAGGTGTGTGCCGCTTCACCTGGCATGTTTGTGTCTATTTAGAAGCTTGATGAAATTTTTGGGACCAGAAGTATGCTGTAGGAGCTTAACTCTTATTTATAACAAGGAGTCACTGGGAAAATTCGCTTTGTTCTGCATCGTCTTTCTTTGAATCGCATTTTCCAAGAACCGATCGAAGACGTTAGTTGAGGGCTTACTGCACTGAGGTCGAAGGCTCTTCCTGTTCTATCCTTCCTTGTTCTCCCGCCTCTCCCTTCACCGTCCGCCTGCACAGTGGTCAGAAGATTTTCCCTCATCTACCCCGCTCCTTTATCTGTCACAGGGATCTCCCCCAATAACTTGCTTGCACTTGTAACTGTTACAATGCTGCTTCCCAGAAGACCCAAACTGACACAAGTAGGTCCACTGTCATTGAACTATAATGACAGAAATTGGAATGAGAGGGAAAAATTGCAATGAGGGAGACGATGTCTTCATGGCTTATTTGAGATGCAGGAGCCACCCGAAGGACTTTGGCAGTTCTGTCACAGAGAGACAGGCAGCCGAGCCCGCACAGTTCAGAGATGCACAGCCACGACACTGGCCCTTCCTGAGGGCCCCAACCGCCTGCTCAAGGGCGGACTGTTCACGCTGTCCGCTTTGGGGAGGAACTGCAGGATCATTTTATTCTTCTATGTCCAAGGTGGAGGGGAAACCAAGGACACAGGAGGAATTCGACAGAAAGAATCTTGGTCAGAGCTGTATTGCATTTATTTCTCCTTGATTACTTCAAAGTTAGCTCCCTTTTCCAGTTTCGGGGCATTATGAGAAAAACTGGAATTGATCAAATGAGCTGAAGAGTTAGCAGAGGCAGGCAGGGCTACCCAAAGTCTGGTTTGCTTCAGCTTGGGTGCTTTCGGTCTGGGGAGGAGGAGTTTGGGACATGGGGGGGCGCCCGATAAAACCCCAGACTTATCTTTTGGGGGGCAAGTCCCTTGTAGTACAGGCTTCCCCTGCTAGGTAAGTGTTCTGAGAACCTGAGATTCTTTCAACACTTTTGCCCATTTAATGATGGGTGATTCACGAGCCTACCAGCCCTCACTGCAGTCAGTGTGGCCCCAGTGTGACCCCTGTGACTACCTTTTTTGATATCCCTGGATGAAAAAAATCCTCAAAGGGAGATGCTTTGCCGATGTGGAAGAGAAGAAACAAAAAATGGCAGAAACACTAAAAGGCATCAACAATGATGGATTCAAAAACTGTTCTGAGCAGTGGAAAAAGCATCTTGATACATGTATTGCACCAAACGGAGAGTACGTTAAAGGTGATCGATGCTTTAACATGGAAGAATATACACAGTTTTAAAATAAATACATTCCAGGTTTTTTTAGGTCCCCACTCATATTGGTGCTGCAGGGAGTGATTGCATCTGGTGAAGGGGAGGTGCGTGACTCCCAGAGAAGGGGTAACCCGAGCCTGTAAGCTAAAGAAAACTTCCAGGTGCTGCTGCCCTTTGCTGCACACCTGGACATGGTTGCTTCTCCCAGTGAAGGTAACGCGCTCTGCAGTTACCTTGGCATCACCGTTCCACTCAGTGGCATCAGTGCCCGCAAGGACCCGAGGTCAGGGAAAGGCAGATGGCCACAGTCCCGGACCCAGGCTGGCATTGGCCTGTCCAGACAGCCTGCCCACACGTCACTCCAGATTGGGCCTGCCCGAGTGGAACTAAAATAGGGTGTCATCAGTCCCTGCTTCCCTTTCCAGGAAGACAGACCCTAGAAGGGTAGACTTGGCAGAGAGGCTGCCAGTGTCCTAGGTACCAATGCAGCAAAACCACTTCTGGACCAGGTCCACTGAATCCCACGGGCCTTCCTTTCCCAGCTCCTCTCAAGTTGGAGTAGGTCTGCTCTTCCTCAGACCTGTACCAGTCTGGGTTCACATGTTTTTGATGTGCAGAATGTATGTCTTCTTACCAAACTCTTCTGCACATCTTGGTACAACACAGAGTGCCTGTCACTGGGACTGTATGGCAGAGAGAAAGAGCAGGGCTTTGGCATTAGACAGACTCAGGTCCAATTCTTGGACCTGCCACCTACTAGTTGTGAGATCTTAGCAAATTACCTCTTGCTATAGACCAACTGTCTGTGTCTCCCTAAAATCCACATGTTAAATCCGAATGCTCGAGGTGACAGTATCTGGAAGTTAGGCCTGTGGGAGTGATTGAGTCATGAGATGCCAGGGAGATCCCTCACTCCTTCTGCCATGTGACAGGATGGAGAAGACAGTCATCTAAGAAATAGGCTCTCCACCAGATACCGAACCTGCTGGCACCTTGACCTTGGACTTCTCAGTCTCCAGAACGGTGCAAAATAAATTTGTTATGAGTTACCCAGTCTTTGGTAATGTGTTACAGCAGCCAGAAGAGACAAAGTCACCACCACTTCTACCCTCTTTCCTCTTCTGCAGCTTCTGAGAGCCTCTCTCATAGTACTGCCAGGCCACAGTGACACTTGACTTCCCCTTTTCAGGGGACCTGGAGTATGCATGCAGGGTGTAGCCTGGCTGGGACCACTTCCTCCGCTGCTCTCTTATGATGACTCATGGAACATTCCTGGAGGCAGAATATCAGAATACCAGAAGCAAAGTTCTCATAGCAGGCCCTGAGTGGAGTTCAGGGGAGCCTCCTTGTCCAGTTGAGGCCTGAGCTTTAGGACAGGGTGACCCTGGATGGAGGTAGCACCACCAGTGGGCAAGAACACCTGGGTGGGGGAGGGCCTGGTCCAGACACCCCTCGATGCCAGCTCCTCCCTGAGCCAAGTTTCAAAGCTGGGGTCTCCCTTAGAGCTGGTGGAAGGTCTAGCACCAGTGGCCTGGATCTTCTGGGATCAAGTAGGTCTTCTCTGTGGCCAGCAGGTGGCGCCAAGCCCTCAGCTCTGCCGGCTTCAGGCTCACGGTCACCGGCAGTTTAAGGTCTCTGAAGCGGTGACAGTTTACTCTGGATGGGGCCCCAAGGATGCTGCTGCCAGGAGTCTGGCCCCTCCCCTTGGCCTAAAAGGCATCCAAGCTGAGTCCCAACAGCCAGGTCCCTAGAACGCCATGCTGACTTGGAGTAGCTTTTCACCCCTTCACCCCCTAAACCAAAAGTGGGTCAGTTCTGCCAGGAAGGGAATCAGTGCTGGGGGACTGTGTGGGCGCAGAGCCTGGGCAGCTTAGAGCTTGGACCAGCAGCAGCAACTAACTAGGCCCTCGGCCCTGCCTCAGGAGCAGCTGGGACAGGCCCTCCCTGATCCAGCTGAAGCCCTGTCTGCCGGCCTCACCCTGTAGCAATAACCCTGGCTTGTGGTTCTGCACACCATCCATGCATCCATCATTCATTCATTCATTTGTTTATTCAGCACTTACTCAGTGTCAGGTACAGTGCTGAGTCAGACACAGTCCCTGACCTCAAGAAGCCATGGACTTGGGGACGGAGAGACAGACTCATAAACACAGGCAAAAGGAGAATGTCCTATTGCAGGGGAGGGAAAGGACCATCTTTTTCCAGAGAAATCAGGGAAGGCTCCAAGGAGGCATCATTTGGCTTAGACTTTTATGATTTCAACAGAGATGAGGCGTGGGCCGTCCAGACAAAGGGAACAACATAAGCAAAGGCTCAGAGGTGAGAAGCTCAACGTTCTGTGCAGGGAGGGCTAGGGAGGGAGGCAGTAAGGGATGTGGGTGGGGGACACAGAGTCCTGGCTGGAGGACAGTGGACTGGAAGGCTGCAAAGGCAATCATGGCCTGCAGTGGCTGGCCAGGAAGCTTGGCCTTGACCCAGAAGGTGAGGGGGAGCTCCTGGAGGTATTCCTAAGACCACCTTGGAGGCTGCACAGCAGATGGACTGCAGGGGCTGAGATGGAGACTAGGAGACCAGGGATGGCCTTCACTCCTACGGTTCCACCCCGACCACAGTGTGAGCTGGGAGGGGGCACCATGTAGGAAGTAAGACTGAGCAAGGGCACACAGCATGGAGGGGACGTGTAAAAGCATCCTAACATTTGCCGGGTCCGTGTTCTCGCCACGTGGCTGATTCAGCAGCAGTCACAATAGTTCACATTTATTGAGCACTTACTGCAGACCGGGCACTTAGGCATTGTACATATGGTTTTCACTCCGACAGCAGTTCTACGAGGTAGGTACTCTTAGAATCTCCATTTTATAGATGAGGCAACAGGCATGAAGAGGTTAAGTGACTTGACCACCGTCATATAGGTAGAACCAGGATTCGAGCCCAGGCACTGGCTCGAGAGCTCCTGCTCCTACAATGTCCCTGCCTCCTCCTTGGCATCCCAGCCTTCCGGGAGGTCTTGGGGAGCGGAGGTAGGTCCCAGGGCTATAAAACCTAGTAGGTGCACAAAGGCCGAGATGGCCAGGCAGGCTGACAGGGCCGGGCCACCTGAGGCAGGAGGGGAAAGTCTGCCCGAGCTGGGGGAAGTCAGCCTGAGGTCCCTTCCCCAGCCTCCCTGCTAGGGTCCATGTCACCCCTCGAATATGGGTGCCAGGAGCTTGCCCCTGCCTCCCTCTCTGCCAGCATGCTCGCTGCCTCCCAGAAGAACAGCCGAGAGTTTAGGTCTTGAGGGGGAGGCTTTATTGATAATGGCGAAGGTGGAGTCCTGGGCACATCCAGGCAGCACCGCTCCAAGAGCCCAGGCTCGGTCGGGACCAAGGACCTCTGCCTCGGGACCTCACTCCCCCTCCATCCTGAACTTTCCAGCACTTCCTTTTCCAGCAACCCAAAGACACCTCCCTTCACCCCACCACCCACAGCCACCCCAGACAGTCAACGCGAGTGGGAGCCACTGGTGGGGAGCTGAGACGAGTTGGGGCTGAGACCCATTGTGTGTGGCGGGCACAGGACCCCTCCTCAGCCTCTGGGACAGAAGGGAAGCGGGGGCGCGGCAGCCCCCCAGGAGCCCTCACTGCAGAAGGCTAAGGGCAGCGGCGCAGGTGTCTGCTCCCCGTGCCTGAGCAGAGTTCCACAAAGCCGAGCCTCCTCGGGGCTCCTTCCCCGGCTGCCTCCCCTTCCTGGCCTGAGCCTGCCCCGTGGAGGGGAGCTCCGTCGGTCTCGGCCTGTCCCTGTCTGTGTAGGCGCCACTCCGACCCTCCAGCCGGCACATGCTCTCTCATGGGCTGTCCTCCCTGGCCGGCCAGGCCCAGCCCTGAGCCCAGCGCTTCTTCCAGGGACCGAGTGGGGGCTGGGGCCTGACCACAGGCATTTCTTGGGGCCAGAGAGAGAGAGAGAGAGAGAGAGAGAGAGACAAGCGAGAGTGGCAGCCTCCCAGGGGACTGCTCTTCCCCAGCCACCTGCCCAGCTTGTGGCTGGTCGATCATGGGGACCCGGAACTGGCTGGAGACCCCGCTGTAGAGCCTGGCACCTCCCTCAACCCCTAGCCTGGGGCAGGGGGAGAGGGGTGAGCCAGTCCTGGGCTGGGGCTGGAACGAGCAAGGACAAAAATAACCCAGTACAGGCTCCCGCTGAGGCCAGAAATAGCGTAGTGACAAGTGCCTTGTAGCACCCTGGGCGGGCAGCAGGGGGAGGCTGAGCTGAGCAGGGCCCAGCCTCACTCCGGGCCTGGCCAAGGGGCCCACATCACGTCCACTCTACATACCGTTCCACACTGTCCTCAGGCACACACGTGTGGGGGTCCGAGGGACCACGGCTCAGGACAGGGCATCTGGAGAGATGCTAAACTTGGGCTTGGCCTTGGCCACTGCCACGCTGCGCTTGCGCAGGGGCCCGCGGGCCGAGGCGAGGGTCAGGGCGTCCAGCAGGCTGCGGTCCTCATCAAGCTGGCGCGCGGTGCACAGCGGCGTGGGCACTTTAATGGTGTTGCCGAACTTGGAGTAGTCCACGGAGTAGCGCCCGTCCTCCTCAGCCACGATGGGGACGAAGCGCTGGCCCCACAGGATCTCGTCCGCCAAGTAGGAGGTGCGGGCCTGGGTGGTGATGCCCGTGGTCTCCACCACGCCCTCCAGGATGACGATGATCTCGAGGTCCTGGTGGTGGTGCAGGTCGCCGGGCGCCAAGTCGTAGAGCGGGCTGTTGGCGTCAATGACGTGGTAGATGATCAGCGGGGCCACCAGGAAGATGCTGTCGCCGCCCACGCCGTTCTCCATGGGGATGTCCACCTGGTGGAGGGGCACCACCTCGCCCTCGGGGCTGGTGGTCTTGCGCACCACCTGCATGTGGACGGTGGCGCTGATGATCATGCTCTTCCGGAGGTCGCCCACGCGCAGCATGAAGCAGAGGCGGCCCTGGCGCAGCGCGATGACGGCGTGCTTGCTGAAGATGAGGGTCTCGGCCCTCCGGTGGGCCTGCGCCGTCTTCATGAAGATGCAGCCCAGCATGATGGCGTTGATCATGAGCCCCACGATGTTCTGCACGATGAGGACCAGGATGGCCAGCGGGCACTCCTCGGTCACCATGCGCCCGCCGAAGCCGATGGTCACCTGGACCTCGATGGAGAAGAGGAAGGCGGAGGAGAAGGAGTGGATGCTGGTGACGCAGGGCTCGGCGGCGCCCTCGGCCGGGGCCAGGTCGCCGTGGGCGAAGGCGATGAGCCACCAGGCCATGGCGAAGAGCAGCCAGCTGCACAGGAAGGACATGGTGAAGATGAGCAGGGTGTGCGGCCACTTGAGGTCCACCAGCGTGGTGAACACGTCCTGCAGGAAGCGGCCCTGCTCCCGGATGTTCTTGTGCGCCACGTTGCAGTTGCCCTTCTTGGACACAAAGCGGGCCCTCCGCTCGCGGGCGCGGTAGCGGGGCTCCGCGGGGTCCTCCGCCAGGCGCGTCAGCACATACTCCTCAGGGATGATGCCCTTGCGGGACAGCATGGCGCCGCGACCCCCAGGGAGGGCCTTCCCCCATAGGGGACGCCCCCCTGCCCCGGCCTAGGGCCTCGCTGGGGCGGCCCCCTCGGGCGCCCTCTCCCCCGGGGCCGCCCTCTGCGCGTGCTGGCCTCCCTCTGCGAGGCCTCCCGCCGCCGACTCTTCCCTCCTCCGGCTGACCCCGCTTCGCTCGTCTACACCCGCCGCACACCTCAGCCCGCCTGCCCATTGACCGGGGAGCCCCGGCCCTGCGCGCCCTCCACCTGGCCCCGGATGCCGGCCCAGCTCTCCCCCGCCAGCCGACCCCCCTTGCGCCCCCCACCCCCGAGACCCCTTCTCCCGCCCAGCCCGCCTTCTCGACCCACCCGAGAACTTAACACCTCCGGGTCCCTCCAACTCCCCAGACCTCACGCAACCCCCACCGCGCCTCCCGCGTCGCCCATGTCGCCTCCGGGTCCCCGCCCAGCTCCAGCCTGCGGT